TCCCAGCGGGTGGTCAAACCACCCCGTGACGTACGATGTGTCAGCGTCAATGTCGATGAGCTCTTTGCAGGACCGGTTCATGTTGGGGATGCCGCCCGCCGTGCCGCGGATGACGTTCCACGTGCCCTCGACGACGCAGCGCAGCTGGAGGCGCGTTCGCCGATGCACGATCGTATGGAACTCGTGGGCGTTGTGGTGGTGGAACTTGGCAATGTGCTTTTGGAATTCGTCGTCGACGTCGATGAGTTGCGCTTGGATGAACGCATCATGGCACCGGAGATGCTCTCGGTCGAGGATCTGGTGCATCGCGCGGAGCCGCAGCGCCGGATCGAGGACGAGAATGAGCTGCTTCCATTTGTCTTCGGGGGCGTCAAGAAACGCGATGGACTGCGTCTGCTCCCACGTCTTTTCGAGCATGTGTGCAAACGCTTGGGCGGTGATCATGTGCTCCTTCACAAGCTTGCGCAGATTCTCGTTCTCGGTCCACGCCTGCTTCTCGCGCTGCCGCTCGTTCACCGCGAGTTGTTGCCACTTGGTCGGCGGCTGGAGCGAGTCGGACGCGGCCTTGGCCATCTGCAGCTGCAAGAGGCGTAGCTCGAGATCACTTACGGCTTCCTTCAGCTGCTGCATCTCGTCGCGCTTCTTCTTGCGGTACCGCTTGAGCGCGAGGTTGTGCTTCACCTTGGACGGCGGCAAGGTCGCGAGGTCGTCGGCAGACTGCGGCGGCGACTCGTCAATGGGTTGCAGTAGCGTCGCGAGGATCTCGGTTTCCTGTGATGACCACTGTATTGAGAAGTCGAAGCTCGAGAGGTCGAGAATGTCCACGAGGAAGGCCTCGCTCTGATCCATGCTGGGCAACCAAATCCAAAATGCCAACATAGCGGCAATGGGCCGTGTGACATGAAATCATCTTAGCCAATGAGAGGCGTGTATCAAGGTCAGATGGTCGAAGCGTGGTCTGCGGCACCGAGCGGCGATCGGCCTCCGCAGCGTAGGCTGATGACGATAGGCTTACCGTCCTTGCCAACACGTTAGAGCGTAGCCCTCTCTGCGACGCTTCAGCTTCGTACGTGAGCTGGTTGAAGCGACACGGCAATTGTGTGACACCAAGTCCGAGCGATCTTTTCCGAGTGCCAAGCCACCCGTCATCTTTTATGCGCTTATCATGCAATTTACCCAACGTCCTTCAACGGTGCACAGTACTACTAGTACTCAGCAAACTCAGCGCATGGTAGCCAGAGTTGTGGCCGTCTTGTTGTAGTAGTGGCTTCGCAATAGTTGTTGCGCCAGAAAAAGAGAGAGCAATCGCCTGCGAAGCCTGTGCGGCATCAAAAGCTTCGGCAACGCAAGAGCCACATCTGCTCGATTGCGACACGCTATCACCTGTACGTGGAAGGACAAATACACGTCCACAGGCGTTCATAGTCGACTAATTGGTAGCCTAAGGTCATATCGGATAGGCCAATAACAAATAATACAAGGTCGAATTACATTTAGTCTCTACACGGCGGCTTGCAGCTGGGCTCGGCCATACTGGTCGATAAAATCGTGGATCGCATTGCCAATCATCTTAGAGTGCTTGGAGAGAGTGTCAACCCAGTAGTCACTCGGGGGACCCTCGACCTTCCACGTCGACGGCCGGATGCGCTGAAAGTACTTGACGCGCGTGCCGCCGCACGGCTCTGCCTCGAGCACGAGCCACGAGACTTCATTTGTCGCTTCGCTCGCGGCGTCGTACGGGTACAGCTCGTCCTGCTCGAGGCTCCGGCAGACCATGACGCAGCGCGTCGCGTCTGCACCGCTGTTGTTGTAGTAGCGCTTGCAGAGCACGCGCCGCTGGTACTTGCCCATCGGGTGGTTGCGCCAGCCCGTGACGTACGACGTGTTGGCGTCGACGTCTTCGAGGCGCTTCGCCTCTTGGTCGAGGTGCTTGACCGAGACCGCGCCGCGCATGACCTGCCACGAGGCCTCGGCGACCGACGTAAGCGTGATGGGCGCGACCCGGCACACGGTCGTGTGCAGCTCAAAGACGCCGAGATGGAACTTGCTCGAGTGTCGCTGGATCTCGGTCGTCGCGTCAATGAGACCTGCTTCGATGAACGCG